CAAACAATAAACATATTACCAAACATTCTGAGAGGTAAACATATACATTTCCTCCTTCACAAGTAGTATGGTATCAGACGTACACACAAATACTTTTATGACCTAGGTATACTGTATAGACAATTTGCAAGACACCTGCAGATAATTCAACAAAATATTACAATCTTGGTGCAAAATTCTTATATCTCTCAAGAATATCATCAACCTTTCCGTTGTGACACATCCAGGCTATTTGTTCAGGAACAGTCCTTATCTCAGTGTTTCTATATACATTAATCAACGGACAATCAAGAATATAATGGGCAAGGGTGTGAGACCTTAACATACCACATAGTTTACACTTCGTGTCATTACCATGAACATCTATCCCATATTCCCAGTAATATTTGTACCCAAGCCTGAGCCGCATGTACACAGAGTCACTCCAAGCATTTCTCCTTTTACCATAAGTGAAATGGGTGTTTTGACTCACATACATGTAGTGTTGCATGGTTTGACTTCTCTCATACATTATCTCTCTCCTCTCCACTCCCGCCTGTGCCTGAATATTTCTGATTTTGCTTCTTATTTGTCTCATTGTGAATTCACATTCAATGTCAACTTGTGGTTTTGATGTGGCACGTTTGGCCAAGTCATCCGCCACCTCGTTGAGCACTATTCCAACATGAGACGGAATCCACATGAATTTCACACTATAACCTTTCAGCTGTATCTCAGTTATTCTTCTCTTACAGTCCTCCACTATAGACATGAAGACTGGGTTTCGACTGTTTAAGGACTCCAGTGCTCCTCGGCTATCGACAAATACAAAACATTTTTGTCGTCATGACGTACTTCCTCCAAACACGCCAGAATGGCCTGCAGTTCAGCTTGTGTGGATGATATATAATTACTAAGCCGGAGTTCAATTATCCTGTCCACAGTCCCAAACTCCGTATAATCCCTTATTAGGACACCACACCCTGCCCTGCCATCTTCCGCCACCGACCCGTCGCAATATACATGTAAACTGTTGCCTCTTGGTAACCGAGATATCATGCTTCCATACAAACACCGTAATTGTCCCGGTTCATGATGAATCTTTTTCACCTTGAGGGGTACAATTTCGACGTCTATTTTCTGTACTATCCAGGGAGCAGACATATTACACTGTCGAGAGGGTTTACAGCAGTCAAGTACGTCGTATTCCCTGAGGTCATGAGCTAATCCTCTCGTATAGCGTGTCTCCCTCAGTTTCCTGGAAGTGTGTACGTCACTCAAGCAGGTCTGAACGCTCTCAAACAGCTTATCCCCTCCTTTTCTCCGCATGAAACGAATAGATACTCTAGTGTTAATGTCACGGACTCTATCACACACACTCTGTAAATTTAATTCCATTCTCAATATTTCAATCATTGCATTTCTTTGACATCCAAGAATAATCCTCATAGCCTCGTTCTGTATCAGCTCTATTTTTTGAATACTTAATACTGCAAACTTTTACGATGTGGTCAATAACATACAGCAGATGAAAGAAGGTTGGGTAAAGTGCATTTACTTTGACTTTCATTAAAGATTTGTTACTGTTGCTCACAAAAACAGTAGTTGAAAAGACACTGAACTGGGTAATGGACTATCTAAGAGACAATAAACCAGGAGGTAAGATAATTATCAGGAGAAAGCCTTAATCCATTACAACCATATAGTACTTGTAAGGGATGAGGATAAGGATTTGGGATAGAACGAAGCAAAGAAATGATGGTCAACCACTTGGACAGTCAGGGATTGAACGCCGGATGAAAGAAGTGAGACCGTTGCTGAACTGTCCAGTCCAAGTGGTGTCAGGCTGGAGGAACGGGCAATTCCATCCCGTATGGCAGGCACTCTAGTTTTTCATTTGGGTCTTTAATGTGTGTGTATAAAACCACACACTTTCTTGAGACAGTAATATGTTGTTGCTTGGCAGGCATATTTCCATGTTCTAGCCCTTCATCTCTTATTGGCATAGTTGGACATTGCAGCGGATGTTCATTAGTCCATTTTTAACAACTTTGTAGAACATCAGTTGCCTCATACTGCCACCTCTTGTCCTTTTTCTTGCTTTAACCACTATAGCTATTCTCGGTGCCTTCCCTAGAACTGTGTATAATTACCTAAGTGTAGTTACAGGATGAGAGCTACGCTCGTGGTGTCCTGTCTTCCCAGCACTCTGTCATATAACGTTTTGATATTACTGACCATTTTGGTCAGTAATTTGGTCAGTAAAAAAACACCACCACCTGACCTAACTTGTTCCAACCGTCTACCACTCTGTTTACAAAAGTGAATTTTCTTATATTTCTCTAGCAGCTTTGTTTCATTAGTTTAAATCTTTAACCTCTTGTTCTTGAAGTTCCAGGTCTCTGGAATTCTTCCTTACCAATTTTATCGATTCCCGTTACTATCTTGTACTTAATCATAATGCCTTTTTTCTTCTAGCTTCTAGGTTTTGCATATTTAATGCCTCTAACCTCTCTTTGTAGCTCTTGCCATTCAGTTCTGGGAGCCACTTAGTTGCATGTCTTTGCACCTTTTCCAGTTTGTTGATGTGCTTCTTAAGATATGGGCACCACACAAACGCTGCATATTCTAGCTTTGGTTTAACAAAAGTCTTGAACAATTTCTTTAGTATATCGCCATCCATGTATTTAAAAGGAATTCTGAAGTTAGAAAGGGTAGCATAAGCCCCTCCCACAATGTTCTTAATGTGGTAATCAGGTGACAGTTTTCAATCTAGAACCACCCCTAGATCTCTCTTATCAGAAATCTTTGAAGATTTCCCACATAATTTATAGGTTGTGTAGGGTCTATGTTCTCCTATTCCACATTCCATAACATGGTATTTATGCACATTAAATTCTATTTGCCAAGTGGTGCTCCATATACTTATTTTGTCCAGGTCTTCTTGAAGGGCAATACAATCATCTGAGTTTCTTTCCTTCCTATTATCTTAGCATCATCAGCAAACATGTTCATATAATTTTGTATTCCATCTGGCAGATCATTTATGTAAACATTGAACATCACCAGTGCAAGAACTGAACTCTGTGGTACTCCACTTATCACATTTCTCCAGTCCGATACATTGTCTCCGATTACTGCCCCTCATTTTTCTATCAGTTAGAAAATTTTCATCCATGATAGAACCTTACCTGTCACCCTTCCAATATGTTCCAGTTTCCAGAACAACCTCTTATGTGGAACTCTGTCAAAAGCCTTTTTCAGGTTCAGATAGATGCAGTCAACCCAACCATCTCTTTCCTGTAATATCTCTGTGGCTCAATCATAGAAACTGAGTAAATTCGTTACACAGGATCTTCCAGATCGAAAACCATACCGACTTTCTGATATTACGTATATCTTTTTCTCCAGGTGTTTTACCCATTTAGTTTTGATTATTTTTTCCAATATTTTGACTATTACACTTGTCAATGATACAGGAATATAATTGAGGGGGTCTTCCTTGCCACCACTTTTGTAGATTGGAACTATGTTAGCCCTTTTCCACACATCTGCTATGACTCCTGTCCACAGGAATGCCTGAAAAATCAGCTGAATTGGAATGTTGAGCTCAGGTGCACATTCTCTTGGAACCCATGGTGAAACTCCATCTGGGCCAACTGCTTTGTTCTTACTTAGCTCCAAGATCATTTTTTAACTTCGTCTCTAGACACCTCAATGTGCGCTATGTTGTTTTCTGGAATTCTTATTGTGTCTGGTTCTCTGAAGATCTCATTTTGTACAAACACACTTTGCTTTTAATGAATTTATAGAAAAGGCCTGGATCTGATTTACATTTGTCTGCTATACCGTTCTCAAAGTTCCTCTCTGCCGCTCTCCTTACTGATGTGTAGTTGTTTCTCATATCTGTATTGCTGGTATGTTTGGGGGTTTGGCCTCTTCCTATAATGATTCCATGCTTATGTCTTTTGATCTGTGGCCCTCTCGCAATTTCTGTTGAACCAACCCTCTTTCCTAGGCCTGCATCTCTGTTTTGGTATGAATGTTTTTGTGCCTTCATCGTATATTTCGCAAAATTTGGCATACGTCTCATTTACTTCCTTGCCTAGCAACAAGTCTGTCCAATTATGCCCATGAAAAATTGTTCTAGATTCCCTATAGCGTCCTCTCTTGAAATTGAGTTTTAACAACTGCTTCAATGTCCCCCATTCTCTACTAGATTATATCGCAAAGCGTATTTAATGTCCAATAGGACGTGATCACTTTCCCAAGGGAGGAAGGTACTGGAAGTCAAATGCCTCTTCTTCTTTCCTGTTGAATATTAGATCCAATACTGACGAAACATCCCCTTCCGTCATTCTTGTGGCCTGCTTGATGTTGACCAGACCACACACTAGAAGGTGAAGGGACAATGACGTTTCGGTCTGTCCTGGACCATTTTCAAGTCGATTGTGAGACTTGCTATCATTCTCACGATCGACTTGAGAATGGTCCAGGCCGGACCGAAACGTCGTCGTCCCTTCACCTTCTAGTGTGTGGTCTGGTCAACATACTTTAGCCACGTTATTGTGACTCATCGCCTGCTGCTTGATGTGTTGATACATGAATGTCTCCAAAATGAGGTTTTCAAATCTGCCTGTTCAAATGTCCTCTGTTCTTGTCTTGTACGCCTCCCAGTCTATTGCCTTAAAGTTGAAGTTACCTAGTACCAACAATCGGGATTTATCTTTGTCTGCTCTTACCATAATCTCTCTCATGACCATTATGAGGCCCTCTCGTTTGTCATCCAGTTCTTCCTTTGTCGATGTGTTGCTTGCTGGTGGGCTGTAGGCATTTAAAATTATCAGCTTATCCTGTTTTCAGACCTGCAATGCCATTATGTCAATATCTCGAGGTTTTTCGATCTCACACCTTACCTTCAGGTGTGTGTGTGTGATAAGGAATATTCACATGTACAGTTAAAAATTTACTATTTTTGCAATTCCTTCTTGTATACTGTATTTATGAACTTTACAATATGGTATATGACAGATACTTTATGAAATGCTTAAATTTTCCTTTATCTTAACAGGTATAATCTATCGGGATCTAAAGTTGGATAACGTCTTACTCGATCATGAAGGGCACATTAAACTTACCGATTACGGTATGTGCAAAGAAGGTATCCGTCCAGGAGACACCACCTCTACCTTCTGCGGCACGCCAAACTACATTGCACCAGAGATTTTACAAGGTGTAGAATATAGCTTTAGGTGAGGCAAGTTTTATAATATGCATATATATATTTATATAATATACTGTATATATAATAATCTATTCAGTAGCAGGTTTTCCTGTAGGCTACACAAGGTAGGTAGATAGGCATATACTGTGTTATTGAATGTGATCAAAAAGGTAAGATCAGTGAATCTAGCATGAATCTTATCTATTTTCCTTACATTTCTGGGGGGAGTCCCGTCGGCTCCCCAGAGCTATCCAGGCTGATATGGATATGTATAACTTTCTGGCATCAGTCAATGTACATGGAGTTCTTACCTACCGGAGACCACGAGCCAGAACCTGGCCCCCCTCAGAGAGGCACGAGCAATGGCCTATAGAAACCCCCGTGTGGTTGGGAGCATTCTGTGTCTGCCATCGACTGGGTCAGGCACCCAGAAAGGTAGGCACCCAAAAACAAACCCCTATTCTGGTGAAAAATTGCTACCGAAAGCTGAAAGAGTGGACAGAACTTCCGAAACGAAAATTGGCAAACTAGCATGACATCATCACGTTGCCGCACCACTGTCTGCACAACCCCCCCTCCTTCCTGGGAGGGGGAAGGGGAGCCCCAGACCCCCCGTGCCGGCAATCCAACCTTCAGTTCTTGGCTGATGCGATACTGGAGAAGTCGTGTGCCTCTGGCTCCTGTTTTGTTTTCAGTTCTGTGCCTTGGGGTTATCTTGAGATGATTTCGGGCTTTTTAGTGTTCCTGCGGCCCGGTCCTCGACCAGGCCTCCACCTCCAGGAAGCAGCCCGTGACAGCTGACTAACACCCAGGTACCTATTTTACTGCTAGGTAACAGGGGCATAGGGTGAAAGAAACTCTGCCCATTGTTTCTCGCCGGTGCCTGGGATCGAACCCAGGACCACAGGATCACAAGTCCAGTGTGCTGTCCGCTCGGCCGACTGGCTCCGGGGTGTGGGCTGTTTCTACAGGTGGTGTGTGTGAGCCAGGAGAAATGTTCCACGGTACTCGGGCTGCATGCGCCTAAGGTTTCCTTCCCTAGGTGCCCAGTAAGTACTCCCCTTGGGGCTTGGGGCCACCTTCCACAAGTCACCTTGGGGTCTACCTCTGCTGTGTCTATTACTGCTCGGTACTTGGGGTCAGCTGGGGTTTTGTTGCCCCTTGTTTGTCTCTGGGTAAGAGGTAGTTTTCGTCACTGGTAGGAACGCAGGGTATTGCACAGCTATATATCGCCTATTTAAGCGGCCGACTCTGTTCAACCTGTGTATGTTGTCCCCTTGCAGGGTTTTTCTTTTGTGTTTGTTTTTCCTGTCTGGTGCAGGGGCTCTGTGGTTCTGTGGTTCACTGAGAGAACCCCGTTCTCTCAGTGGGTTCTCGTCTATTCATGTCCCAACACAGGACTGCGCGGACCTCCGGTTCATTCTGGACTTGTCCCGTCTGGTCCCATGGGTTTTGCCCCTCCTTCAGATGGTTACACTGTCCCAGGTCCGTCTTCAGTTTGAGCTGGTCGCTTGGGTGGTGTCCCTGGACCTCTCAGACGCGTTTTGGCAAGTCCTGATTCATCCTCGGTTTCTGGGACAGACTCGGTTTTGTTGTGGGGCATCAAGGTTACTGTTTTCTTTATCTTCTGTTCGGTTTGTTGGGGCCTCGCATTTTCACAAGCCTTACTCGAGTTATATTGGCCTGCTTGCATCTGTTAGGTACTGCTGTTGCTCCAGGTCCTGGCTTGCTTGGGAACTTACCAGGGGAGAGTTGTTCTTCTGGCTCCTTGGTGACCTGCCCAGCCTTGTTTCAGGTGCTGCTTGCTCCGTGTCCGAACCCGAGGATCTGCTGCAGCTCCAACTCTTTCAGCGGATAGATCCACCCCGTTTTGAGGCTGGTTCGTTCTTCTCCTCGAGTCTTCGTGTCTGGAGTTTCTGACTCCTGTCTATCACCACTTGTATGGAGCGTGAGTGGCTTCGTTGTTAATCTCCCACCTGCATGCTTCGTCTCACCAACAGTATAACGTTCCTGGTGGTCCTTCCGGGTTTTCCTATCACTGCGTGGGTGTACTTTGGTCTCTGTTAGGGTTGTTTTGTCTTTTTGTGGTTGTTTCTGGACCTGGATTTCCCTGGGGCCCATTTTCTGACCTGGCTGGTGGTCTGCTCAACCAGGCTGATGGATGCAGCTGCTCGCAGCCTGATGTATGAATAAAGCCCGATTGATCAGGTATCCTTGAGGTGTTTGTAGGGTTTCTTTTGAACACAGAGGTCATAACCCTTGCGAGAAGAGTTATAAAGTCTTGGGGCCCCCTTGATGTTGATAGTTCTCTCTCAGTATGCCTATTGCGTCTGCTTTTCAGTGAAGCTGATCCTGTGGTCCCGGGTTCGATCCCGGGCGCTGGCAAGAAACAATGGGCAGAGTTTTTTTCACCCTATGCCCCTGTTACCTAGCAGTAAAATAGGTACCTGGGTGTTAGTCAGCTGTTACGGGCTGCTTCCTGGGGGTGGAGGCCTGGTCGAGGACCGGGCCGCAGGGACACTAAAAAGCCCCGAAATCATCTCAAGATAACCTCAAGATCAAGATAACCGCCATCTTCTGCTGGATACTGTCACCTCGTATCGTGCGGCACGGGCAGAGCCACTCCTGCTTATGTTCGGTATTGATGTTATGTCTGCTCCGTTTCATCAGCTGTCTTGTGTGTTGTTTCACCTCTGGTCTGCTCATGCACCGCCTGAGCCATCCTGCTCTTTGGACTGAACGCTCTCTTTCTCTCTTCTCCTCGGTTTGTTGTGGCCCCTTCAGTTCGGGGTGTGTTTTCTTCGGCTCTTTTTCCTGTTGGCATTGGCCCTCTAGGGGTCGGTTGGGGAGCTTCATTCTCTCACCGGTGCAGGGATTCTGCTCTTTTGGTCCTGGCCGTAGGTTTGTTCGGTTGCAGCCATCTCCTTCTTTTCTGGTGATGTGTGAGTCTGCCGTTTTCCAGAGGGGTCCTTGGGTTGCTGAGTTTGGTTGGTCAGACCAGAGATGCATCATGTGTTGTTTGGTTGTGGCTCTCTGCCATTGTCTTGGCCTCTCTGGCCATGGCCACACTTGGATTGGCCGGGTTCCCTTACCTCCTTCCTATTACAGGGTCTCCTCCTGGGTCGTCTGCAGGGTCCTTTGCTTTTGCCGGTTGTCTTGTTCTCGTCTTCGAGCGTGTGGCGTCCGCTTCCCGGGTCCTTCCCTCTTTTCGTTATCTTTCGTGAGGTAACTCCGGGAAGTTGAAGTGGCTCCTCCCAGAAAACCAGTGTTGAATGTAATGTTATGCCATTTTCTGGGCGAATCCCAGAGGCTTCCCGGCATCCCTCCCTCCCTCAGGTCGACGGTGTTTTTTCACGTATCTTGACATACAGCCTAAGAACTGGTGGGTGGATTGCCGGCGCAACGGTCTGGGCTGCCCCTTCCTCCTCCTGGAAAGAGGGGGGGGGGGGTTGTGCAGACAGCAGCGCGGCGACGTGATGACATCATGCTCGTTTGCTAATTTTCGTTTTGGGAGTTCTGTCCACTCATTTGGCTTTCTGTAGCAATTTTTCACCAGAATAGGGCTTTGGTTTGGGGTGCCTATCTTTCTGGGTGCCAGACCCAGTCGATGGCAGACATAGAATGCTCCCAGCCACACGGGGGTTTTATAGGCCATTGCTTCTTATGCCTTTCTGAGGGGGGCCAGGTTCTGGCTCGTGGTCCCCGGTAGGCAAGACCTCCATGCACATTGACTGATGCCAGAAAGTTATACATATCTATATCAGCCTGGATAGCTCCGGGGAGCCTCCGGGACTCATCGAGAAAATGTAGTTTCAATACATTCAACGCTGGTTCCTTCTTCACTTAAGGAGGAGGTTGAAATATTAACTCTCCAAAGTTCATTTTTACAAACGTTCATTTATTATTTATATATATAAAACACACACGCATGCGTACGTCAAAGTTATGACTTCAAAGTGACATCAAGGTTTGAAGTCAAAACCAGAAATGATAAACAAGAAGTGGAACTTTTGCAAGCAATTAGGAAAGAACTGGTCACCAACAGTAAACTAACACAAAACACTACAGATAGAAGTGTTGGATGTTTAGAGAAGGCAATTTCATCTAGGGTGGACCGAGCAGCAGAAGAGATGAAAATCAGAAAAAAAATAGTAGGATTAGGAGAAGGCTCAAAGGAAAATGTCTGATTTTAGGAGGATAGGAAATGAGAGACAAAAACTGCCCCTTAAGAGTGATGTTGACCAGACCACACACTAGAAGGTGAAGGGACGACGACATTTCTGTCTGTCCTGGACCATTCTCAAGTTGAATGGTCCAGGACGGACCAAGTCGACTTGAGAATGGTCCAGGACAGACCGAAACGTCATCGTCCCTTCACCTTCTAGTGTGTGGTCTGGTCAACATACTTTAGTCACGTTATTGTGACTCATCACCTGCATTAAGAGTGATCTTTAATGGAGTGAAATATATGACAGGGTTGCTTAAAAAAGCCAGAAAATTGCATTGTAATGAAGATGGCATACTTTGGTCAGTAAGACAAGACCTCTCAAAGGAAGACAGAAAAGCTGAAAATGAACCTCATTGAAGCAAAACGTTTACATAAGGATAGAAATGAAGAAGAAAGGAATTCTTTTTTTCTACAAAGTGTTGGGGACTGGAAAGCTAGTGAAATGGTACATAAAGACAAAGCAACAAACTTGACCATGTCATAGCACAGTCGATTAAGGCAGCGTCTGGGATGATCTTGGACGTAGGTTCGAATCCTCGTCACGGCCCTTGTGGATTTGTTCAAAGCAACAAACTCATTAAAGGAAGGGGGATGTAAAGAACAAAGGAAAGGGGAACATGTTCCTGTAAATAGTATATACCAACATAGATGGAGTGAGATCGAAAATATTGGAGTTGAAGGATATAATTCAGCTCAAAGTCCCCGATATTGTCACATTAACAGAGACAAAACTTGAAGAAAATATCTTAAATGAGGTCATATTCCCAAGGGGCTACTCAGTTTGGAGACATGACAGGAAGAGGGTAGTAGTGGCTCTGCTGGTGAAAGAACACCTGAAGGTAAGAGAGTTAATATTTGAAAACCCTCGAGATATTGACATAATGGCATTGCAGGTCTGGAATCAGGATGATAAGCTGATAATTTTAAATGCCTACAGCCCACCAGCAAGCAACACATGGACAAAGAAAGAACTGGATGACAAACAAGAGGGCCTCATAATGGTCATGCGAGAGATTATGGTAAGAGCAGACAAAGATAAATCCCGATTGTTGGTACTGGGGGACTTCAACTTTAGGGCAATAGACTGGGAGGCCTACGAGGCAAGAATGGAGGATATTTGGACAGGCAGATTTGCAAACCTCATTTTGGAGACATTCATGTATCAACACGTCAAGCAAGCCACAAGAATGAGGGCAGGGTATGTTCCGTCAGTATTGGATCTAGTATTCACCAGGAAAGAAGAAGAGGTATTTGACATCCAGTACCTTCCTTCCTTGGGAAAGAGTAATCATGGCCTATTGGACATTAAATACGCTTTGCGATATAATTTAGTAGAGAATGGGGACATTGAAGCAGTTGTTAAACTCGATTTCAAGAGGAAATGGGAAATGCTATGGGGAACTTAGAAAATTTGTTCATGGGTATAATTGAAAAGACTTGTTGCTAGACAAGGAAGTAAATGAGATGTATGCCAAATTTTGCAAAATATACGATGAAGGCAAAACATTCATACCAAAACAGAGATGCAGACCTAGGAAACAGGGTTGGTTCAACAGAAATTGCAAAGGAGGGCCAGAGTTCAAAGAGGGCCAGAGTTCAAAAGACACAAGCATGGAATCATTATAGGAAGAGGCCAAATCCCCAAACATATCAGCAATACAAAGATATGAGAAACTACTACACAACAGTAAGGAGAGAGGCAGAGAGGAACTTTTAGAACAAATGTAAATTTGAGAACAGTATAGCAGACAAATGTAAATCAGATTCAGGTCTTTTCTATAAATTCATTAAAAGCAAGCTGCAGGTAAAGGATAATATTTAGAGGTTGAAAATGGGAGACAGATACACGGAAAATGAAAATGAAATGTGTGAAACATTAAACGAAAAGTTGCAAAGTGTACAACTCCACAAGGTTCATGACGAGGATTCGAACCTACTTCCTAGAGCATCCCAGACGCTGCCTTAATTGACTGAGCTACGACATGGAAAAAAAAAAAAAAAGAGTTGAAACCAGAAGCTCTACTGAACTTACTTGGATCCTGCAGCCTCTCAAAGACACAAACCAGAGTTTTACACAACTCCCCCAGGCACTCGAGCTATGTCAATAAAGAGTTTCAACTCTCTCTCTTTTTTTTTTTTTTTTTTCTTTTCTTTTCTTTTCTTTCTTCGCTCTCTCCCCCCCATGTCATGGCTCAGTCAATTAAGGCAGAGTCGGGGATGCTCTCAGACATAGGTTCGAATCCTCGTCACGGCCCTTGTGGATTTGTTCATTTGATGCATCACGCTATTGTGATTTCTGTGTGTAAGTTCCAAAGTGAGTTTGTACAAAATGAGATTATCAGGGAACCAGACACAATAAGGATTCCAGAGAACAACATAGAACACAGAGGTGTCTAGAGACGAAGTGAAATAATGCTCTTTGAGCTAAGTAGAACAAAGCAGTTGGCCCTGATGGCGTTTCACCATGGGTTCTGAGAGAATGTGCACCTGAGCTCAGCATTGAACTTCAGCTGATTTTTCAGGCATCCCTGTGTACAGGAGTCATAGCTGATGTGTGGAAAAAGGCTAACAGTTCCAATCTACAAAAGTGGTGGCAGGGAAGACCCCCTCAATTATAGACCTGTATCATTGACAAATGTAATATTCAAAATATTGGAAAAAATAATTAAAACTAAATGGGTAAACCACCTGGAGAAAAAGATATAATATCAGAGAGTCAGTATGGTTTTCGATCTGGAAGATCCTGTGTAACGAATTTACTCAGTTTCTTCGATCAAGCCACAGAGAGATTTTACAGGAAGAGATGGTTGTGTTGACTGCATCTGTCTGGACCTAAAAAAGGCTTTCGACAGAGTTCCACATACGATTTTTTTCTTGAAACTGGAACATATTGGAAGGGTGACAGGTAAGCTTCTAACATGGCTGAAAAATTTTCTGATAGAAAAAGGAGGGTAGTAATCAGTGTCTCGGACTGGAGAAATGTCACAAGTGGAGTACCTCAGGGTTCAGTTCTTGCACCAGTAATGTTCATTGTCTACATAAATGATCTACCAGATGGAATATAGAATTATATGAACATGTTTGCTGATGATGCTAAGATAATAGGAAAGATAAGTTGATACCCCTCCCCCCAACCTGATGATTGTCATGCCCTTCAAGAAGACCTGGACAAAATAAGTACAGTATACGGAGCACCACTTGGCAAATGGAATTCAATTTGAATAAATGCCATGTTATGGAATGGGAAATAGGAGAACATAGACCCCCACACAATCTATATATTATGTTAGAAATCTTTAAAGAATTCTAATAAGAAAGAGATCTAGGGGTGGTTCTAATAGAAAACTATCACCTGAGGACCACATTAAGTACATTGTGAGAAGCTACACTTTCTAACTTCAGAATTGCTTGTAAATACATAGATGGCAAATACTAAAGAAATTGTTCACAACCTTTGTTAGACTAAAGCTGGAATATGCAGCGGTTGTATGGTGCCCATATCTTTAGAAGCACATCAACAAACTGGAAAAGGTGCAAAGACATGCAACTAAATGGCTCCCAGAACTGAAGGACCAGAGCTACGAGGAGAGGTTAGAGACATTAATATGCCAAAACTAGAAGATGGAAGAAAAGAGGAGATATGATCGCTACGTATAAAATAGTAACAGGAATCGCTAAAATTGATAGGGAAGAATTCCTGAGACCTGGAACTTCAAGAGGTCATAGATTTAAACTAACTAAGCAAGGCTGCCGAAGAAATATAAGAAAATTCACTTATGTAAACAGAATGGTAGACAGTTGGAACAAGTTAGGTGAGAAGGTGGTGGAGGCCAAAATCGTCAGTAATTTCAAAGCGTTATGACACAGATTGCTGGGAAGAAGGGACACCAAGAGCGTAGCTCTCATCCCGTAACTACTCTTGAGTAATTACACAATATTTTTTGTTATAAATACTTTACAATTTTGTTCAAATACCAATATGAACCTTTTCACTTGTTTTCAGATTAAAACCATTTCTAAACATTTCATCCACTGTTAATATTTGTATTTTGCTTCCAGTAACTGATTTAGAGCATTCTAACATAAATAGTATATTGTGTGCATTATTCAGTTAGTGCTCATGAAATCATAAAAATGTGCAGTACAGAACTTATAAACATATTAAGAAACATTTTAATTCCACCCGACTTCTCTTGCAGTGTTGACTGGTGGGCATTAGGAGTTCTACTTTACGAAATGCTAGCGGGCAAGAGTCCCTTTGATATTGTGGGAGCAACTGACAACCCTGATTGTAACACTGAAGACTTTCTCTTCCAAGGTGAGCGGATTGCTCTTAATTTATTGTGAATTACTTCTATGCCAGGCAAATAGTTTGACTTAATTGCCTTAAATAAAGTCACTGGTTTTATTAAAGTTTGTAAGACTCTCTTTTCTTCTATTGGTTAAATTGGGTAAAACTGTAGCTCTGAACATAATGAAGCTCTGCTTTCTGCGGCGGCCATTTGTGTGCTGTCCGAACCATTGATATTAACTAATTTTGAATAAATAATGTTCATCTCTGTTTAGAATTTTTCAGCAGATGTTATTCTTCATCCAAGAGTCTACAACACCTGTAGACAGCTTAAATACGTGTGAAAAAATGTCTTGTACCAGCTAAGGATCTCGTTTTCAATTTTCAGTGATCTTGGAGGGGGGGGGAGGAGGAAGAGGGGTTATTCTATATGCATCTATTCCTTATAGAAAGGAAGAAATGATATGTTAAGATATGTGTGAAAAAGTGTCTTTTGTACCAGCTAAGGATCTCGTTTTCAATTTTCAGTGATCTTGGAGGGGGGGGGGAGGAAGAGGGGTTATTCTATATGCATCTAATTCTTATAGAAACAATGAAATTATATGTTAAGATATGTGTGAAAAAGTGTCTTATGTACCAGCTAAGGATCTCGTTTTCAATTTTCAGTGATCTTGGAGCGTACTATCCGTGTTCCTCGATCATTGTCCGTTAAAGCTGCCTCGATACTTAAGGGCTTCCTCAATAAAAACCCAGTGGATCGACTAGGATGTCACCCAGAAACTGGCTTCACAGATATTGTTTCACATCCATTCTTCAAGACTATAATCTGGGAGATGGTAAGTGACAACTGGTGTGTGTGTATACTGTACTACACTTTATGAAAGGTCTTTTATTTAAATGCTTCCTTTTTCTAAAGAAATCTAGTTTATAGTGTAATGTTTATGATTTTGGGTGACTAGATAAAGATTATAATGGTTTTTGATGTTTAATGTAACCTTGGTTACAGCTGTCGGATGCTGGAAATGTAATATGTCCTGGTAGCTGAGATGAGGATGCTTGTGCAAGGCTTGGAGCCGAGAGCAGAGAGCTTGAGCAAGGCTGGGTATCGAGAGGGCAAATGTGGGGCGAGAGCAGAGAGCTCGAATGCGCGCATCATTTTGTTCATAAAACAATAAACAAATAGTTTTGCTGTTATTACACTATATACACGTTACATAAATATACAGGTATACACAGATTATTACACTATATACACAGGTGGCCACACACAACTGATGCTCCCTCCCTCCCTCACTGGTTCAAGGCCAGATGCACTAACATTCCTTCAAGTATACTGTTTGTGGTGTTATTGCACTAATACACACATTAATTTGTGTGAAAACTTTTAAGCATCAGAGGTTCACGGTTGTTCAACACCCTCCCAGCGAGCATTAGGAATATTGTTGGAACAACCGTGGACATCTTCAAGAGGAAACTAGATTGTTTCCTCCAAGGAGTGCCAGACCAACTGGGCTGTGGTGGTATGTGGGCCTGCGGGCCGCTCCAAGCAACAGCCTAGTAGACCAAACTCTCACAAGTCAAGCTTGGCTTCGGGCCGGGCTTGGGGAGTAGAACTCCCAGAACCCCATCAACCAGGTATTATATACAAGTATCTACATTTCTGTTTACCATAGTGAACCAATAAGCTTGTATTGTAAGTGCAGACAGTAACAGGTGGCCACACCTTTTGACAGAGTTCCACATAAGAGGTTGTTCTGGAAACTGGAACATATTGGAGGGGGTGACAGGTAAGCTTCTAACATGGATGAAAAATTTCCTAACTGATAGAAAAATGAGGGTCGTAATCAGAGGCAATGTAACGGAGTGGAGGAATGTCACAAGTGGAGTACCACAGGGGAGTAAGGGGAGACATGATAACCACCTACAAAATTTTCAGGGGAATTGACAGGGGTGGACAAAGACAAACTCTTCAACACGGGTGGGACATGAACAAGGGGGACACAGGTCACAAATGGCCATATCTTAACACTTTCGCGTTCCACAGACTGACTATCTCGTCACTCATTTTTCTACTGAATGGGTTCCAACGACGCAATACTGAGTCACTCATTAAAATATTTTTTAAAAATTTAAATTTTATCAGATTAATCTGGTAGTGGTTTTAAAATAAGCGCCTTTAGATTGCACACAATTTGATACCAAAATCAAAGATATAACATGAAACCTGATGTCCAAACACTTGAAATATTATAAATAGGCCTATGGTCCGAATATTAAAATATTTGTTAAAATTCTATTTATTGTCCTATTATCTTGGGACTTGTTTTAAAATGTGCGCCTTTTTATTACGAACAATTTGATACCAAAATGAAAGATGTAACACAAATATTTATGTCAGAACACTGGAAAGATATAAATAAATTAGTGATGATGAGCGTCCAGAATTAAAATATTTGTTAAAAATCCAGTTATTGCTCTATTATTCTGGGACTAGTTTTAAAATACTCGCCTTTTTATTGCGAACAATTTGATACCAAAATGAGCGACGTAGCACGAAATTTGATGTTATCAAATTGAACGAGTTGAACATTAGGTTGCAATGTACAAAATGGTGCTCGTTCACGGGTAACTTTAGGCTTTTCTGCGGGGTGGCACTTCAGCCTCTTGTACATTTTATTCATACGCATCTGTAGGGAATTTAATTGCGAACACAATGATACCAAAACGAGCGACGTAGCACGAGAATTAAGGTAAAAAAATGGAACGAGAATGCACATGTTACTGATTTTGTGCGTTTTTGCCGACTTTACGCTTTGCTGTTGGGAGTCGCGCTAGGCTTTTGGACATTATATTTACGCACACCTGTAGAGAATTTAATTGCGAACACAATGATACCAAAACGAGCGACGTAGCGCGAGAATTAAGGTGAGAAAGCTGGAACGAGTATACACATTTGGGTGTCACCGCGCGCTTACCCCCACGGAGGGGCTACCTACCCCCTGTCAACCGCGAGTTTCCACGGAGCGCGAAAGTGTTAAGAAGCACATCAACAAACTGGAAAAGGTGCACAGACATGCTACTAAGTGGCTCCCAGAACTGAAGGGCAAGAGCTACGAGGAGAGGTTAGAGGCATTAAATATGCCAAAACTAGAAGACAGAAGAAAGAGAGGTGATATGATCACTACATACAAAATAGTAACCGGAATTGATAAAATCGATAGGGAAGATTTCCTGAGACCTGGAACTTTAAGAACAAGATGTCATAGATATAAACTAGCTAAACACAGATGCCGAAGAAATATAAGAAAATTCACTTTCGCAAACAGAGTGGTAGATGGTTGGAACAAGTTAGGTGAGAAGGTGGTGGAGGCCAAGACCGTCAGTACCAGTAGTTTCAAAGCGTTATATGACAAAGAGTGCTGGGAAGACGGGACACCACGAGCGTAGCTCTCATCCTGTAACTACACTTAGGTAATAACACTTGGGTAATTACAGGTGGAAACTTAGTACCGAGATGAGCCACAGAGACGTTAGAATTTTTTCAGGGTCAGAGTAGTTAATAAATGGAATGCACTAGGAAGTGATGTGGTGGAGGCTGACTCTATACACAGTTTCAAATGTAGATATGATAGCGCCCAGTAGGCTCAGGAATCTGTACACCAGTTGATTGACAGTTGAGAGGCAGGACCAAAGAGACAAAGCTCAACCCCGGCAAGCACAATTAGGTGAGTACAGGGTTCAGTTCTTGCACTGGTAATGTTCATTGTCTACATAAATGATCTACCAGTTGGTATACAGAATTATATGAACATGTTTGCTGATGATGCTAAGATAATAGGGAAGATAAGAAACCGAGATGATTCTCATCCCCTTCAAAAAGATCTGGACAAAATAAGTATATGAAACGCCACTTAGCAAATGGAATTTAATGTTAATAAATGCCATGTTATGGAATGTGGAATAGGAGAACATGGACCCCACACAACCTATAAATTATGTGATAAAGCTTTAAAAAATTCTGACAAAGAAAGGGATCTAGGGGTTATCTTATCTTGAGGTTATCTTGAGATGATTTCGGGGCTTTAGTGTCCCCGCGGCCCGGTCCTCGATCAGGCCTCCACCCCAAGGAAGCAGCCCGTGACGGCTGACTAACACCCAGGTACCTATTTTACTGGGTGTTAGTCATTGGTTCTAGATAGAAAACTGTCACCTGAGAACCACATTAAGAACATTGTGCAAGGAGCCTATGCTACACTTTCTAACTTCAGAATTGCTTTTAAATACATAAGTGGCGAAATACTAAAGAAATTGTTCACAACTTTTGTTAAACCGAAGCTGGAATATGCAACGGTTGTGTGGTGCCCATATCTTAAGAATCACATCAACAAACTGGAAAAGATGCAAAGACATGCCACTAAGTGGCTCCCAGAACTGATGGACAAGAGCTACGAGGGAAAGGTTAGAGGCAGTAAATATACAAAACTAGAAGATAGAAGAAAGAGGCAATATGATCACTACGTACAAAATAGTAACAGGAATCGATAATATTGATAGAGAAGGATCCCTGAGACCCGGAACTTCAAGAACAAGAGGTCATAGATTTAAACTAATGAATTAAAGCTGCCAGAGAAATATAAGAAAATTCACTTTTGTAAACAGAGTGGTAGATGGTTGGAATAAGTTAGGTGAGAGGGTGGTGGAGGCCAAAACCGTCAGTAATTTCAAAGCATTATATGACAGAGTGCTGGGAAGATGGGACACCACGAGCATAGCTCTCATCCTGTAACTACACCTAGGTAATTACACAGATTTGGCAGACGACGCTACAGTCCTCCCTCCCTCAGCATTACTCCTCCCACAGAACTGTGCAAATTATCACAACAATCCTGCTATTATCAGAATTCTGGTCATTTTTATCACAGTCAGTGGTCTTCTGTAATACTATCATCGCTAAATAATAGCATGAACATATATATTATGGCATTTTTAGGCGATGCTGTGGTCACAAGCTGAACAGCAGTTCTGTGAGCTCATGCTGCGTGTGCCAGCCTTGGTGGCTCACTCAGTACTGAGGCTCTCAAACCCAGGAATATTACCAACAATTTAAAAAAAATGGTGTCTGTTTACAAGAGCTCTGAGGATGATATGAACCCCATGTAGCCGCGGGACTTTTAAATCTTGCATGGTACTCCAAAACGTCATATGAAGTGGTGCGCACTTTCGCGTCAGTTACTCAATACTTCAAATAAAGTGTTGCGCAGTTTAAGGGTTAAGATTCAGCTACTGGAAGCAAAAAGTTTCAAGTAGCACGGGCTATGGTGAGCCCAAGTGGACTTACCTGGCACAGGTAAGTCCACTATGGGCTTTACTATATTGAGATTACTCTCATTATAGTTCCTATTTACCACACTACTAGATACTTATTTAAATTTAATCTTAGTAAAAAGCTGAAGGTGTGTGTGTGTAATAATTACATAAACATAATTTTTTGTTTGGTTACTATAATAAGAGCAAACCCCTAGTGTAAATGCAAGATGAGTTCCACTTTGAAATGTTTTGTCTTTTGAAATCTCAGTTTTTTACACTTATTTGTCTAGTCTGCTTCTGGATCATTTTTGTTTCCAAAAAGGTTTCCATAAATTGTTCATTTAAATTTGTGATGTAATACTATCTCTTACGTGATAAACCCCTCTGATTTCTGGGGGGAGCCCCGTCGGCTCCCCGGAGCTTTACCGGCTGATATACTAATGTCAGACTTTGGCATCAGTCATGTGTATGGAGTTCTAGGGCCTACCGGGGACCACGAGCCAGAACCTGGCCCCCTCAGAGAGGCAAG